AAAAATATTTTAGCACCAAATATTTATTTGTTTACTTATTTTAAGGGAGATGGCAATCTTCTGGTTTCACATTTTGAGTACAAAAATTTCAACCCTGATACAACAAATAGTATTAGTACTGAATGATAATGACAGATTGCATTCCCATAAACGTCCAATCATACATGATTGAGTTTTTTTTTTGCATTCACATTCTCTATGTGAATGGGTGTCAACCATTCCATAACACACTACATATTTTGTGTTTACAATTTGTAACCAATCTCAAGAGTGGTTGTTAAATTTTTTAAATCAAACAATCACATTTTTGAAACGAAAAAAATGAGAATGCACACTCAATTGATTCAATCATTACACAGCTCTGCCACATACCCCCTTTAAACCGGCAAAAGCAAAAAAACGTTTTTTGTTTCGCAACACTTTAACCTAATTTTTAAGAATCCGGTTAATCGTTTATGAATCTTGAATACATTTTCTGGACACGCTCTGCAAGACCTTTCCAATGATATGCAAACATGTCGATTGGACGTCTGAATAAAAAATTCCAAATCTCGTGTATTAATAAGCGAGTGCATGCTACTGTGGCTGCTTTCGTCACTTGCGCGCTTGTCTTGCGCTGTGATATTCTATACATCCATTTGCTTATTTGCTTTTTTGTATAGTTTCAGGCAGGCTCTTCCTAAACTATGTATTTGTCAACGTTACTGTGGCTTATTAACATTTTAATTTTAATATTTTTATTGAGCTTTGTACCACGATTGTTTATTAGGAAAAATTGAAAAAGCAACAAAGTCTAAGCGGTAGAAGTTATAGCACTATTTCGGAGATCACCACATCTCCTCATCAGACTTCTTTTTTCTAGACTTCAGCAGGGATCGAACCTGCGAATTCGATGTTCAAAGTCAGAAGCGTTAACCACTGAGCTATGTACATCCCGTAAACTCTTGTTGCTAATTCATTTTCCTTATTCAACCAACTACTATCAAGTGCAGCTGATTTGCCGCTATTTAAACTCGACAGCGTGGTTGTTGTTGTCAATTCTATACATCCATTTGCTTATTTGCTTTTTTGTATAGTTTCAGGCAGGCTCTTCCTAAACTATGTATTTGTCAATGTTATTGTGGCTTGTTAACATTTTATTTTTAATATTTTTATTGAGCTTTGTACCACGATTGTTTATTAGGAAAAGTTGAAAAAGCAACAACGTCAAAGCGATAACAGTTATAGCAACAACCACGCTGTCGAGTTTAAATAACGGCAAATCAGCTGCACTTGATAGTAGTTGGTTGAATAAGGAAAAAATGAATTAGCAACCAGAGTTTACGGGATGTACATAGCTGAGTGGTTAACGCTTCTGACTTTCAACAGCGATTACGCAGGTTCGATCCCTGCTGATGTCTAGAAAAATTAGTCTGATGAGGAGATGTGGTGATCTCCGAAAAAGCTGCTATAACTTCTATCGCTTAGACTTTGTTGCTTTTTCACTTTTTCCTAATAAACAATCGTGGTACAAAGCTCAATAAAAATATTAAAAATATAACTTTATATTTTGTACAAGGTAACGTTATGTATCAGATCAGAACGTTGGTCCATGCAAAACAAATTTAGACTCTAGGCACGCGTGAAGTTTATATCGACCCTCTGCACTAAAACAACTTTTGGCTTAACACGAAATTTGTCAGATTTAAAATATTCATGGATCCGAGATCTTCAACTTCCTCAAAGAATGATTTGCCAAGTATTTGTGCACTTCACCTTTCGATGTGCCCACCCCTTGTCCCATGGCGCGTGAGCCAATTAGCCAGTGGCCTGTAAGAGTTCTAAGAAGGAAGGACACTTCTTTTTTGTTTAATGAACAACGAAAAGAGTTTGCTGTTTTAGGACAGGTAGTTCTACAGATTTCACAGGACGTAAGGATGTTCCAAGAACGAAAAATTACACTGAAGATGGCACAACGCCGAAACCGGTTTGTCTCCAAACCAAATTTGACAAGGGATGACGGAAAATCGTTCCACATTACATCACACTCCTACCCTGTCGGAAACACCAACAACGAAAATGTTCCAAAGTCCTGGGTAGATTGGTGTGATCTATATCAAACTGTTTAAAGGTTGTAAAAAGTTGTAAAAAGATTTCCCATCATATAACTTCGTCCCCTTCCGGGACGAAATGCGAACCAACTTCTTTTTTGAAGTCAGCAAAAATCACTAATTTTTCTTAATGAAAAGGTAAAGAAAAAACATTTTTACAATTCAATTTCCTCAAAAAATTTTTTCCCAACAAAAATGTTTCTGTGTAGATACTTTTATCTAATAATAATATAATAGATTGGCGCTTACA